ATACTGTTCTCATCCTTATAGAGTAACTTGTCTACTATCTTCCAATTAGTAAGTGGCAGAGGAGGGAGTCTGAGGCCATTCTTTTCTCAGCATCAGCCCTGAGAAAAGACAGTCCTGCATGCCTGAATCCAAAACTAGAACTATCTGGATTCTTTGGCCCTAGGAGGAACTCCACAGTTCACTCACACAGCAAGAATGTGGAATAAGTCTCCGGGTCCACACAGTTTCTGAAGGAAGGATATAATACAGGCAAACATGAGCTGAGAAAAACACGATGTAATCCTAAAACTGGAGGCCACACAATAGAGTATAAATAAGTAAATAAATCCAAACAGTGACTGACCTTGCAGATAGGTGATCAAAATATAACACACAATCCTCATCTGCTCCAAGCATCTGACATGCACAAGTTTCATGTAACAAACCCAAACGCCAAACTCCTTTTTCTTCCTTCTCCCTTTCCCAGCCCCTTGGAGAGCAAGTCCTAGGGATCATAATTCAACAGTTTAAATCCTTGGTTTTACTCTCTGAAGCCCTTGTCACAGCTTGAGTTCCAGGACATGTGTCTTCCCTGGAAGAATATGACAGTCTCCTAAAATCCCTTTCCTCCATCAGCCTCTCTCCTCTCTACACTCTGCTGAGACTAAAGGTGAACCCCACCATTCTCTGAAACCCACACTAGTGGTTCTCAGCTTAACTCCTGGGGACTTCAGAAGCCCTAGGGGTAGGAATCTAGGGTAGTTAGCTCTATTTTACCTAGAACGCGCCAAGTCTGTAGTTCTACATATTGAAGACAGTTTTCTATTTGAAAATAAAAATTTTCCTGCTCCAAATTTTGCAAACCAGCCTACAGGATAAGGGATAATTCCTTGACATGGAATTCAAGGCTCTCCTTGTTCACTTTTTATTCTACCTTGAATTCCTTCTGCACATGGCTCCCATTCACTTGCTCAGCCTGAAATTTTCTTCCATCTGACATCACCTCACCTTTTGGAAAACAGAAAATTTCTGCCAGCCAAGCAGACTTGTTTTCACTTAATCATTCATCTCTGTACTTCTAACATTATTGCAGTGCCTGGCACATAGTAGATGTACTATTTTACTCATTCATTCGCTAATAAATGATTAAAGCAAAAAAATCAATAAGCACCCTAATAAATATGATTCACAAGTCTTAAAAAGAGAGACCACATAGGTATACTCTGAAATATACCTGCTATAACAGGATATCCCAACACCACTAGTAATAAAATTTATTTAGTTGATCAAAACTAGCACTGTAAAGAGCCAGGGATTTAGCTCTGTGGCACAGTGCTTGCCTCACTAGCACAAGGTCCTGCGTTTGATCCCTGGTATCAAAAAAAAAACAACTAGCATTTAAAAAAGTGGAACAGAAAATAACAGTAATTAAATACAAGTAAACACCACTTTGTGAAATGTCAATATATATGGATACACAAATATAGGAATACATTTATGTACTAGTAGGTTGTTAATGTAAAATATATTTCTTATTGATTCTCTGGTAAAAATTATTTTTGTTTTGTTTTGTTTTGTTTGGTACTGGGGGTTGAACTCAGGACCTTGCACTTGCGAGGCAAGCATGGCACCACTAAGTTAAATCGCTGGCCCTAAAAATTATTTCTTCCAAAATTACAAATCAGACATTATATCACTATGATTATTCTAAACTCCTCCACTCAGTTTTTAAAACACAGAATCATCATACTCCATCATAAAATTCAATTCCAACAAAAATTATGTTGGCTATGCCACTTAAAATGGTTCCCTGAAAGTGAAGGAGTTTAAAACACCAAACCAAACCAAACCACCTGTAGCCATGCTTGAAGATTATAGCTGATTAAATGCACAGAGAAAGCCACAGGAGCACACCTGTTTATTCCATGTTGGGGTTTTAGGTTTCACATTAGTATCAGATGCATCCTCCAGCCTTGCATCCCCTCTAGCCTGTATTTCTCAGGGCAGTCTTAAATACCTCTACATTATTTATAACCATCTACACTAAACTGGCTTTCCTTCAAATACCTGGAGACAATGAGTACAGTTCCATTGATGTTTAGGAACTCAGGGGAGATTCTGGAAGCACACACTAATCCTTAGCAGAGCAAAAGATTCTAGGTATAAAACTTTGTGTTCATGGTAGACATGTAAAGGGCCAATGGATTTGGCCCTATAACCTTATTTCTCCAAAATCAATACAAAAAAATTGCTTCAAAACTGTCAACTCATGGAACATATGTCCTTGGCTAGAGTAAAAGGTAAAAAATGACCAAAGGGCCAACCTGGGATAAATGACATATGGCTAGTGCTGTGGATTTAGAAAATTATTTTTCTTGTCTTCCACAGTAGGGAAAAACAACTTACACCAGTTAAAACAACAACAGCATTCTGTTCTGCTTGTGATCTAGTCTGAGGGCAAATGAATAGCCTTTGGCTGCTGTAGCAAATTGGAGGTATTCTAGTTTATTCTACAACTATAACATTCCATTCCCTGCAATGCTTGTCCACTATACTCACCAAATATCCTATGTTTTTGTCACAATAAGGTATTTCAAGGGGAAAATTGTAGCCAGAGCTTATAAAACTGAACCATTAAATCCTCAACCTCTACTGTTTATATCCTAAGTCTAAGGATGATACTTAGGAAAAGACAGACAAACTGCAGGCAACATAGGAGTGAATGCTTCTTTAGAGATGCTTCCATATGTCATCTTTTTTGAGGAAACACCGAAAGTAAAGAGGCAAAGATGGAAGAGGTCTAGAAATATCATGGTGACTTTTTAGAAGGAGTGGATAATTAAAGGAACCTTTTGCTTTAGCTCTTACAACCAACAAGGGTAAAAGCCCAGGGTCAGACAACTTGCAGTATAAAAGGAGGTAGGGACCAAACCGACAGCATTCTGTGTAATGGCAGGTACTGGCTTATGGGCAACACCTCAGATTTCCAAGAGCATCTCTATGAAGTTGACTTTGCAGTAGGTAGATATTGAAAAATAAAAATCTAAGACTCTATACTCTTTGATAGGAGAAAGATTAAGCTCCAGGATTCTCAAAATCAACTAACTTTGCTTCTATTTTTATAAGAAAAAGAAAAAGTGTCTTAATTCAGATTGCTGAAACAGAATTCCATAGACTGGGTGCCTTAAACAACATTTGTTTCTCACAGTTCTGCAGGGTTGAAGTCAGGGCACTAGCATGGCTGGGTTCTTGGTGAAGGCCCTCTTCCTTGTTTACAGACAGCCTTTTCCCTGTTGTGTTCTTATATGGTGGGAAAAAAAGATCATTTCTTGTGTCTCTTGTGTAGGGGACACTAGTTCTACTCATGAGGTATCCTCCTTCATGATCTAATTACTTCCCAAAGGCTTCATCTCTTACTACCACTATAACAGAGTTGGATTTCAGAACAGAAATTTGAAGGGGCATCCAGACATTTAGTAGTTAGTCTTTTCAATCATGCACATGGAAAATTTTCCAAAATATATGCATCAAACTATTGAAGGGAATTATCTTTATGGAGTGGGATGAGAATGAATTTGGAGAAGAAAACATTCATTGTCCACTTACGTAGTGGTTGGATTTTTTTTTCAATGCATGCATTGTAATTTACAATGTACTATGCAGTGCATTATTTTATAATACATTTTAATGTGAAATTCTTTAACATACAGAACTCTTTGATAGCCATCACAAAAATTAGGGAGAAATTTGCACCAAATGATGTGATAATTAGCAGCTGTGATCATAAATGAGTTGTTCTTCAGTCTGACAAGTGCTCAGTAACTAACTTCATTCAGATTTACATGAGGCACTGTAGGGAAGGCTCTAAGAAATATTATTCATCGTCACTGGAATTTGCTAATCAATGCAGGGAAAATACAGATAAACTCACCTTGTGCACACACATGAAGCTAGTAATACACAGGGAATATAGTACAGAATTATAAGGGCCAAAGAAGTTTCTCGAAGAGAAAGATCACTGTGAACCACAGGAGCAAAATGGCTCCATGTTATGAGTAGGCACAGGCTGGAGACAGTGGAGAGTACTTAGGCTTCCTGAAGAATTATAGGATGATCCAATAGGTAATATGGAATGAAGGGAGGAACTGCAACCTGGCGAATAGCCCAGTATCTCCCTGACAGTTCATCTGTTTAAGATGCCTACAGACATAATCTGGTAACTAATAAAGGAACTTCACATACATGTTCAAGAAATCTAAGGAGTCTGCAGAAATTTAAACCTGTATGGCAAAATACTTATCAGCCTCACCCAATAACATGTACCCATCACCAAATTATGTCACTATCTTAGAATTCTGTAAACTCACAGGCTTGCAGCAGAGGTCAAAATTTAGAGCTCAGTAAATTCCCCTGAATCTGTATTCACTATTGGGAATACACAATAGATAAGAATTGTAGAAACAGATGTGTTTCTCACCTAGATAAATAGGCTAAGATTGAGATTCTGAGGACATATCACAGTACACTTTATATAATACAGCCACAATAACTGCTTGTTTTACACACATGGTCTATTTCCCCAAAAGATGTTACATGTGGGTTAAGAACATGCTAATGTACTATCTATGTCACTGTCATGCCAAAAACCTGGAATGGTGCTCTAGTACTCAGCACCTGGCCTGATTTTAGTGCCTGGTCCTTAGGCACCAAAGAAGCAAGCAAGGGATAGACTGTGTTTTCAAGTTACAAATTCACAGTAACTGAAGTGCCAACTAAACATCTTTTTAGAGGCATATTATAAAGGACTAAAATTCTAATGTTTCTCTTTCTTAACAATGTTTTTAATGATCTTAAAGGAAGTTGTCCATTACTGGATCCTTTCTTTTAAAAGGAAGCAATTAGTCAAGAGCAAACAGTACTTTGCCATTTTACAACATTTCTTTATCTCTGAACCAAGAACATCAATCTGTATCTAAAAATGTGTTGTGAACATTTATTGTTATTTATTGTGTCCTTCCCAGCACCTCCACCTTTTGGGTGAACAAGTCCATGTGATTCCCAGGAGAGATGCTGTGTGCTTATCCTTAGCATCCCAGACTACAGTTCACTGGTTCAAAAGCAGCCACTCGAGAAAAGCATTGTAAATTATTTCACCGCTCCTTAACACCCCCAATGTTTCAAGAAAGATGGAAAAGGGGGAGGAATGGACAGTGAAGCCTAGAAGCAAATGGCAGCCATGCCTCCTGTCATCTTGAAGACCACCTACAGGGGCAGAGACAGAGGCCCACTGACACAAAGAAGCTACAACAAAACAAAACAAACCCCAAGAGACTGAGAAGTAAAGTCCTGATATACAGTGTGTTCCTCTCCCATACTATGATTCTGCATTACACATGCCAGCTTTAGTCTCCAGCCTCCAACCAAGTGTTCTGAGAGTTGTGGATGGCTAGATGGTATGTTCTGTACATACGGATTTCTGTTCTTCAATGCCTAGGAATACTTCTTTTAAAGGTAATTATCAATTTTAGGTGTCCAGCTGGCCATGATCTGGTATTAAACAGCTATCTGGGCTGAACAGAATCCAAACACCATACCCAACCTCACAAAAATCTGCACTGAAAAAAACTAGGATATTAAGTCATTAATATCACTTAGCAGTGAGGTAAAAATATAGAAAGGTTGGCAAGAAGTGGACTTGGAACTGCAACACACCAAAGTCAGATTGGAGCCGAGTTAAGAAGGAGTAGGTACTATTACTGAACAGAGGGCTCCAAAGCATGTGGCACATGGGCCATCTGAAATATGGAGACTGCTATCTGCCCTCTAGGAGCCAGTCACATGGATTTCTGGGTCTCATTTGCCCAGTATTTTGCAGTAATTCTCTTGTCTTCCCTAGTTTGATTACACACATCTCTTCTTTATTCAGAGAACTCAAATGAATCTTCTGTTCCTTCAAGCATAACAGACTAACCAAAAATAATCTTGAATTCCTGATATTCTTTTCAGAGATGCCAATCTGTGAACTCAGACTAAATGTTTAGCTCCTGTGTTACAACACCTCCCTTCTGGATTACTATTTAGTGTGATCATGTCAAGACTACCAACAAATTTATAGTTTAGGTATCAGAACCACCTTTAATGGACTGGGTGTCACAAACAAAAATGTAACTTAAAAAACCATATAAAATCTGCCCAGCATCAATTTCCTTAATAGATTAGAAAATTAAACTGAATAGTATCACTGAAGATACTGGTTAAATCTCAGCTATTCAGGAGGCTGAGACAGGAAGACTGCTAAGTTCAAACCTGGTCTGAGCAACTTAGTGAGACTCTGTCCCAAAATATAAATAAAAAGGGCTGGGAATGTTGTTCATGTACAGCACTGGGTTCAATCCCATTACAAAAAACCCCAAAAGAACCCACCTTAGATATCTGAACTGCACTGTCAATTATAAAACATACCTTGGAACATTTTCAATTTGCTCTTAAATGGCACTTTATTCTTAAAGTACCCAGGACTTTATAAATGTCCTATACCTAAACTAAATATCTTCCTTTTATCTTCCCACAATGGTACTCGCACACAGGTCCACTTTGGCAGAAAACTGGCAAAGAATCTCATGTGAATTTAATAAAGCCAACAAATTTTAAAACTTCCTAAGACCACAGTACTTTTAGATCTGCAGTAATATAACAGATCTGCCATCTGTTCCCAGGCAATCACCAAATAAAAATCACAGTATTATGGTGTTGGTATCTTTTATAGAGTATTTTCTGCTCTTTTTCACTAATCCACCACCATCATCTATATAAAAGAGAGCAGAGAGACATGAGCTACTCATACATGCCACAACATGGATGAACCTTGAAAACATTTTGCTTAGTGAAAGAAACTAGTGATAAAAGGTTACATATTGTATAATTTCATCTGTATGAAATGTATACCTGTAGGTTAACTTTAGCAAAGTTATTAACTTTATCATATTAACATCTGACTTTTTCAGAAAGTCCAGGAATAGGCAACTCTATAAAGCCAGAATGTAGATTAGTGACTGCCTGAAGCTGGAAGGAAGGGAAAATGGGAAGTAACTGCTAATGGTGTATGGGATTTCTTTTTGGAGCCACAAAATGTACTAAAATTAGATAATGGTGACTGTTGCACAGCTCTGTATGTTTAAAAATTACTGAATTGTGTATTTTGAAGGGGTAAGCTTTATGAAATGCACATTTTGTCTCAATAAAGTTGGTATTTGAGAGATGTGGGAGGGAGGGAGAGGAAGAGAGGGAAAGAGTGAATAAGCATGTACTGAGGTCACCGACAGAGAAGAACGTGGGCTTCTGGAAGGGTGAGGCAGAACAGGGGCTGGGCTAGGAAGAAGGATCAGCCATGTGGTATTCAAAAGCAGGAAAGAAAGAGGTCTATAGCAGTGAGAAGAAAAGGGGATGGAGGGGAAGGAAACCAGAGGAATCTGTACTCCCTAAATAGAAAGATTACTATGTTCCTATGGTCAGCTATTTGTATGTGAAAAATAAATCGAGGGTATAAGCTGGGAGTATACATAATGATCTGAACAGACTTCCTCTTCAGTAGTTTTCACAAACAACTTCACAAACAATGACAGCATATTTATTATGTGCTAGGGACCATGCCAGTCTCACATTCCCAAACATTGCATAATTTAAGGCAACAGCCTCAGGAGTGGATGCAGAAAATAAAAGGTAGTTATTAAATCCCTGTTAGTCCTAACTGTAGTATGGTATATAAGTACTAAAGGGTCACGTAGTAACCCATAAATATGTTCAATTACTGTGTGTCAATTAAAAATATAAAATATTTTTTTTAAAAAACCATGACTGGGGCTGGGGATTTAGCTCAGTGGTTCTGGTGCCTGCCTCACAAGCGCAAGGTCCGGAGTTCGATCCCCGGTACCCAAAAAAAAAAAAAATCATGACTGAAAATTCATACAAGAAACTTTTCTCTTTCCCTTAGGGCACAAAAGTGATGACATAAGAACAGAGAAGTAGGTATGTGAGAGCAAAAAGCCTTAGCTTGGTTTCAATGAGAGTCCAAGTGTGAGCCTATCATTTTGAGTACTCGAGAGCAGTAAGAGGTTCTCCGAGATCTGCAGCCTGGCCTCTGCCGTTTTGTGCAGTGAAAACAGGACAAGACTCAAGTCCCAAATCCTTGCTCAAAGCATCAGTGAGTGCTCTTTCCAGTTATTAAACCCCACCTCTTAAAATGACAGGTTCCCCCCAGCTTGCCTGATCAGTCTTTCCCTCTAAATTACTACAACACTGACTGCTCAGCCTATTTTCTTGGCACTTGTACACATATGCAGCCACGTGTAAAGCAGTTTTATCCTCCTAATCAGATCATGCAAGGCTATGTTTTATAGATCTCTTTATATATCCAATAGCAAGCCAGTTCTGCACACTCACAGAAAGAAGTCAAATATCCCATATTTATTCATTTTGGGTATGAGAGAGTGTTGATGGTGGATTTAGTCTTAGTCTGTAGAGTTTGAGTGAAGCCCCTATACTATGGTGAACAAAAAGCAATATGAAGGCAATATCTAAACCACCTAGTTAAAAACTCATGACCATAGGTAGAAAAAAACCATTAAGATATCCCTCAAAAATATATAAGCTTAAATATCTTATAGTTTTAAAATAGGTTTTCTACAATCTAGTACAGCTGTCAATTTGAGATTTACTAAGCATACAACTCTACTGATAGTTTGAAATTTGCATTCAAGTGGGAAAAAGTGATAGTTCTGCTGTAATTCTCACCACATACAATCCAATCATTTTCCTCCAGAATTCCTCTATGAAAATTTTTTTTGTACCGGGGATCAAACTCAGGACCTTGTGCTTGTAAGGCAGGCGGCAGAACCACTGAGCTAAATCCCCAGCTATGAATTTTTTAATCTACAACCTCAGAATTTTTAAAAAAGATATACTTTGAAAGTATCCCCATTAATTTTATTTATTTATTTATTGGGGCGGGGGGGGGTGCCAGGGATCGAACTCAGGACTTTGCAGTTGTGAGATCAGTGGTGGTGCCACTGAGCTAAATCCCCAGCCCTTCCCATTAATTTTAATTAACAGAGCTAATTTAGGACTAGAAAAATTTTCTGCCCTCCTAGAGACTATAAATTATAAGGTCCAAATAGTGATGGCATCCAAGGGAAGGCCCTGATCACCTCCCAGTGGGGTGGGTCCATTCAGAAAGGGGCTGTGAAGAGGCCAGGGATTACAAGAAGAATGTGCTCCTGTTGCCAGGAAGAAAGCACAATAATCAGTTTGGACACATTAGGTATCAAGAGATCAAAACGCAAACTGTTTCCTATTTATGGCAAGATTGGGGGTTAAACTAATATTTTATTGTATTAATTTTGGTTTATTTGAGATTGGATTTCACTATGCATTCTAAACTGGGTTTGGACTTATTATGTAGCCCAGGCTGGCTTCAAACTTGCAGTGATCCTCCTGTCTCAGCCTTGTGCATGCTGGGATTACTGAAGTGTGCCACGAAGCCTGGCTATACTAATATTTTAAAGAGGAGAAAAAAGTTGTCTTCCATTTCAGCAGGAATACTCAAGGATAATAGGATTTGAATATTAGTGAGAATACTTCAGCCATGTCCTAAGAAAGTGTTTCTCCAAGTGCAGTCTGTATCAAAAATGCAGACCTCTATGCGCCACTCCATAGTTGTGAATCTCCATTTATGGAAGGAGAGGGAAAACACTGGAAGATGCATCAGTTTAACTAGCATGCTATTGAATCTTATATTGTGTTTGAGAAGAGTTGACTGGGTATTTTGCAAAAATTTCCACTGCAAGAGCAGAATGTAGATGCTGGAGAAATAATTATCTTTGTTGTTGTATTGAATCTTATTTAACAAAAGTTTAGTATTGGAAACCACAAAAGGGAGAAATCTTTATTTTTTTAAATAACGGTTCAATTGATGTATTACTCCTCATTTAAACACACATCTAGCCAAGGAGTCAACTATTTACTCTTTAATAAAAAGACTGAGACCAAATACTTCATGGGTATTTCAAAGCCCAAGATCTATAAAAATTTTTAACCAATAAAAAATGTTTATGTGAAGGCACTTGAGCTGCACTGTCCCAATCAGTAGCCACTGGCCAAATATGACTACTGACCATGTGATATGTGGTACAGTGCCTCAAGAGAGGCACTTTAAGTTTAAAATACATACTACATTTCAAAGACACTATAAACATGCAAAATATTTCATTAATAACTTTTGATGCTGATTACATATAGATATGTAATAATATTTTGTATACACTGATTAAAATGTCTTATTTGGAAAATTTAAATTATTATTTATGTAGCACTGATCTGAGTATTTTTTGCTTAGCTGATTAAATGCTCCACTAAAATTCTTTTTTTTTCCCTCCAAAATTCTTAATCATTGAAATAAATGTCTATGTAAAAGGCAGTCTGACTCTGTAATCCTAGCCCTCAGGAGGCTGAGGCAGGAGGATCACTGTGAGTTCGAGGCCAGCCTGGGCTACATAGTGAGTTCAGGACCAGGCTGAACTACAAAGGGAGACCCTGCCTCAAAAAAACAAAAAACAAAAAACAAACAAAAAGGCAGTCTGACTTGTATAGCTAACAGTTGCTGTCCACTCTACAGATAAAGTAGAGGACACAATTAGGTCTATAGGTTATTTTCCCACAGCTGACCACTGTCCTTAATATCCTCAAAACAATACAAATACAAGGTCAATTTCTTTTGTGAAGTAGAGGATATTATTAGGTACTTGGGTTACTTTCCCAAGGCTGACCACTGTCCTTAATTGCCCCAGAACAATAAATACAAGGTCAATTTCTTTTGCCACATCCACAGCTTAGCAAAAAGACTCTTTTGCAAACTTTTAGTTCATAAATATTGATGAGTGACAACCCCTAAAGTAATTTCATTTTTAAATTTTATCATTTTGTTAAAATGCACTTTTATACATAGGCTTTCTTCTACAATCTCTCCAAGCCATTAATCAAAATTTCTGAATATAGCATTAGATGTTTAAGATCCTTTTGTGTTTTTCTAATTACAAAATAGTTCAGAATTTATTTCAGAAAAAATTGAAATATAGAAATGCCACTCAGCAGTGAACACTATTTTGGTATATATTTCTGTCAACTTTTTCTTCACTGTTCATGAGTGTTAATAGAAAGAAATGAACTCTAATTACTTTTAACAATATTTTGAAACTAAATTTTCCACCTTTGAAAGGACTTCCTCTCTTAATTTGTGTTGATTCTGCACAAATTCTACTTGAACTACAGTCATAAACGTACTTCATTTGTAAAAAGAAAACATTTACTTTTGACGTTTAAAATAGTTTTATGTTTTTCTCTTTCAAATAAAATAAATTTTCCAATACATTCAGCTTATTCTGAATCACAACATGTTCTACAATACTGAGTCAATTTGGTCAGAGGTCAGGAATGTGGTGTAGGAAATAATTTACAGAAGACATAAAAATCACTTCACAGTACTTGCCTCAAGGCTGAACCAGCATGTTACAATATCTTTGCTACTCCACAGGACCTAAGAATGTTCTTATCTTCCTCTGAACTCTAAACAGTCAAACCATGAAAAAGGGGAAGTACTGTCTACCATATTTTCACTCTACATTCAATTTTATGCATAAGGGTATATCTTATCAGTCTTATATAAAAATGATGTATTTCAAAAACAGTATAAAAAAACCCACTAACAACTTTTCCTGTTGATAACATGTTGATATGATGATATTCAGGATATATACATTTTGGATACATAGAAAAATTTTGAGTATGTGGCAATAACTACCATTAATTCTATTTACTTAAAGCCTATTTTCTATCTAAGTCTTAAATTTGTACAAGCAAAAGAGTTGAGAGACTCCCTCTCACCCAGCTTGCATGAAGGAGAAGCTTTTAGACGAAGGTTTATTCTGAGAAAGAACTGCTTTCCATCCTTCCAGGTATTCCAGGTAGATGGGCAGATGGAAGAGCACAGTTCTCTGTGCTGCTTCTTGGTCACCAAGGCTGGTGTGCCAGCAGTATGGCCTTGGCAAGTTATTGAATCCCTTTGTTTCCTCATCTATACTTTATAGATAATAATCTCTCATGCAACTATTATGGGATTAACTATTAATATATGCAATGCATTTAGAACAATACCTGACAGGCAGTAAGCACCATATTAAGAGCTACTATTATTATTAATATTGTGATACAGTTATTCTGGGACCTATGTAAATACCCTGGGAAAGTTAGGACAAATGATGAACGCTAAGGACAGCTGGAGTCTCTCTTCTAAATATTTGAGAAGACCAAATATAAAAAGCAAGAAACTGCTCTGCAGTTTGCAAGTAAAATTGTCTTTAAAGGGGAGATAAGACAGGTTAGGGTATCCTGGAACCAGAAAGTTAAAAACTCGTGACCAAAAGTAACTGGTTACCATTAGCATACTTAAGACTCAAATGAAAATGAAAGAAAAAGGGGAAGGAGTTAAAGTACAAGTCAATCCACTATCACAGGCAAAGATCATAGCTTCCACACTAATGATCAAGCTGGAAAATAAAAGTCCCAGTTCTAGAGGAAATGATTATCTAATTATTCATTGCTTGGTTTTTTTTTGGTTTTTTGGTACCAGAACTCAGGACCTTGTGCTTGCAAAGCAGGCAGAACCACTGAGCTAAATCCCCCCCCTCTAATTACCTCTAATTATTCATTAATTAGATAAGTTCTGAAAAGATCTTAAAATCACTAC